AAAAAAAAAAAAAAAAAAAAAGACCCAGGACCTGGGATTTGGGGTCTAATGCTGCCAAGTGATGAGTGCCATCTGTTCCCACTGGCTCCAGAGCTCCCAGGATGGGGCCCCGGCTCGGCGGAGGCTGACGGAGCAGGGCAGCTCTCCAGAAGATGTAACTCGGCGTCTTGGGAGCGCTCCCAGTTTGCACCTCAGAGTGTCTGGCCCGCAGACAGACCACACTTAACCTGTCACCCCCCAGCCAAGTGCTTCCCTCAGCTCCCAGAAAACAGCACTCCGAACTGGGAGAGATGTCCTGGCTGTGGTTGAGATTTTGGTGTGCTTTGTTTCCCACTAAATCCACTCCCTCATTTATCAGTGTTGGTTTCTTCTCACAAGTAACGAGTGATAGAATAACAGGAAAAGGCCTCAAGTTGTGCCCGGGGAGGCTTAGATCAGATATTATGAAAACATTCTTCATCTAAAATGTTGTCAAGCACTGGCACAGGAGGGAGGGATTTAAAAGCCATGTGGATGTGGCACTTGGGGACACGGGTTAATGGCTGCTTTGGCATCAGCTGGACTCGATGATCTCAAATTTCTTTTCCAACTGAAGGATTCTCTGATTATCTGTGCACTGAGCACTGCACTTCCTGATGGCACGCTGATGTCAGTCTAAAAAAGTCCCCCAACCTCACCTGCACCTTCCCAAAGGTTTTTGCTGAGCACAGAGAAGAATTGGAGGGTCAAGGCATGGAGCAGCCAGACCCAAGGAGGGCCAGGCCTGAGTTGTCTGCTCCTCTCAGGTGAAAAGCAGAAACCAAGGGAGTTGAACAAAAGGACTGAAAACAAGACACTGGGTCCCTGAGGAGTCCTTGCTTCCTGCTGAGAAGTTTAACTCCAGCACGAAGGGGTCAGCTCAGTGCCTTGCACAAGGGCCCACTTTCCACCAAGGGGATGTAAAAGCTGACTAATTTTTACTAAATAAAAAGAGCCTTTGACAAGTGGTCTGCTACAGAGGCCTGTACTCTGACCTGCTGTGACCTGTTGTATTCCCTAACCTGCAGTTCTCTTAATTGAGAACATTATAAATGTGACTTCATAAACTGAACTGGAGCTTGGATTGCAGTATCCAACTTGTCTCATCCTGAGTCATTTTTGTGAAGCACATTGCATTGGAACATAAGTTGTAAACAAAAAATGTATTTAGTAGAGGGTTACTTCCCTTCTCTTTCAGGTCCAATTAAATCCTCAATAATTACTGAGGTTTCCAGAAGTGGTGGTGACATCAGAACCTCCCAGAAACAGCTTTTCCATTGGATTGCAGTGGGATTCAGTCTCTAACAAGCACAAGTACATTGTGATACTGCAAAAACAACCCTGCTGTGTACTTATTGCCAGGATCAATAGCTGGTTAGGTAAAACATCTACATTATTACTCAAAAATCAAACTGCCTTTTCTGACCCACTGGCACAGAAGTTGTTGAAATCCTGCAGTGTAACATTTGCTGTAGGACTACATTTCTCTAATTGATGTTCCCAAGATCCACACGCAGGTATTGACAGGAGAATAGACCCTTTAGCATCTAAAAGTAAATCCTTGACATTTCTGTCTCAAGCAGAAGGTCCAATTATTCTCCTTTTGCTCTGCTCCCCAGTCAGAAATTTGAAAGGCAGAAAAAAATCCAGAGTACCGAGTAAAATTTTCCAATTTGTATGGATTGCTGTAAAAGTAGCAGTAAGTAAGAATATTTTGGATACCAACAGGGCTAAAGCAGCATTTAAGGCTTGTTTCTTTATGGCCAGAGGACATTTTGCTGTTGAGTGCTCATTTATAAAAAGTGAAATTAGGTAATTTTTCTTTCCGAAAACCTAAGAGAAATGGTTCTGAATGTCCCCTTTTCTTTCCTTCACACAAGCTGAGGTTTTTTCACAACTAGCTGGCTATGAATAGGCACAACAATTCCAGTAAGCCATCCATTTCCACTGCCAACAATTATATCAGTTCTCCAGGCCCTTATGTGTCATTTAATACCTACTTTCATACAGGAAGAGATGAAAAGAACAACTACAATAAGATGCAGTTAATTATGGATATGTTTAGAAACAGTCTAATGAATAATAAACAATGTTTTATTTCCCCTGTCTACTGACACAGTGGCAAATAATTAAGAATCAAAAGAATTCAAAGTATTAGGTAACAATCAGAAAACTTGTGCAAGATTTTTTTTCTGCTCAAGTTTAATTGGTTCATTGTTCCCATGAACTATAAACCACGGGGTTGATAGCGGTGCTAAAGTTTGCCCGTATAAAGGAAGATTAACATATTCGGGAACTTTACCCTAATCCTTGTTTTGCGTTAACTCAAGCAGATTGGATTAGTAATTCTTACCTACCACCCACTAGAAGAAAACGGGTTTCTTTTCTCAGACAACTGCCTGCATTGTACCTCCGTGTGCATTATCTGCACTGAAAGCAGTTCTGCAGAAAGAAATGATGTGAAGTGAAAGGGAAAAGGGTTTTACACTGCCATGGCGAGGAACAATCGCTGACGTGGCACAGCCTGAACTCTGCTGAAAGGTTAGACCTGTTCCTGCCCAGCTCATGCGCTGCTATTTCAGGCAAAATGAGAATAAGCCTCCCCTGAACTTCTAATTCAGGAAAATAATGAAAACTAAGCAGAGTTGATTTACAGGATCTGATTTGGAGGCTGTTGGGGTGAGCTTGGAGCAGAGAGGGAGCAGAGCTGGTTCAGTGGTTGGGCTCTGCTGAGAGTGGGTGCTGAGTTTGGCATTGCAAACCCACTGGGTTCCCAAGTGCCCAGCTCAGCCAGGAGTGGGGCAGCTGCTGTGGGAATCATCCCATCCTGGTGGTCTTCCCTGTTCATGGACCCGGTTCAATTTGGACCAACCACAAGTACCACCATAGCCCTGGGCCCAGGGAAATATCCCTCTGCAGAGTTCTAGACCCATCAGGTCTTCCCCGTCCTGCTGATATTCCACTTTCACTAATTAGAATCAAAGAATCACAGAGTGATTTGGATTGGAAGGAACCTTGAAGTTCATTCAATTCCAACCCCTGTCATGGGCAGGGATGCCTTCCACTATCCCAGGCTGCTCCAACCTGGCCTGGAACACCTCCAGGGATCCAGGGGCAGCCACAGCTTCTGTGGGCACCCTGTGCCAGGGCCTCACCACCCTCACAGGGAAGAATTCCTTCCCAGTTACCCATCTAATCCTGCCCTCTGCCAGTTTAATTGCCTGAACAAAGTCCTACTTGTTCCTAGCTCAGTGCCACATTTTCACCTCAGGAAAGAAATTGCCATTACTTGCTCTGCCTGCAGTTACTTTACTCCCTTGTTTTCCTCATTCAGAGGCTGTAGCCCAGATCCTCCTACTCCTTCTCCATATGCAAGAATTATTCCTTTGCTCCAACAGGAGCACAAGATCCCACTGAGGGAGGAACCCTAACACTGACCTGATGGCCAGCAGAAGGACTTGAAATCATACAGGTTTTTGTGAACCTTTTAAGTCCCAAGGATCTCCCAGATGCTTCACTGGGGAAAATAATCTTAAATATATGAAGCCACTCAGCCAGACTCTTTCCATTACTCATCAATAAGTTATGCCAGGAGATTTGAGCACTCTTGGAATAAGCAGAACCCAGCTCTTTGCACAGTATTTGTGAGCAATATGATGTCCCAGGTGAACACAGGAGCTCCATGCATCACCTTCACACAATAAATGGACCAAAGCATGAAGGGCCATGGAAGAGCCCAACACAAGTGATGGCTCCTGTCCAAGCTTCATCCAACCACAGAACTGTAAAACTCCCACAAAATGTGGCAGCAGCACCTTGCAGGAAATGCCAAGATATAGAGAGGCAGCACTTTGCTTTCTTGTTGGTGCTGGTGTCTTCTGCATCTCACCAGAGCCAATGATCTTCCCATAATCATGGCCAAAAATCAATCAATATTTGGGTGGATTCTCTATTTTTTTTTATATTAGGCAGTGATTGTAACTTGGAACGGCTTAAAAGCATTCAGTTGCCAAGGCAATAGGAAGCAAAGAGTTATCAAATATATGTGCTCTAAACATTGGAAAATATTTAGCACAGGCACAACTACAGAGATTAGCTTTGTGTTAAACTACAGGGAGCAACAATAAGGGATTTTTGGGGCAAAAAGCAGTTCCACCTGTTAGCTGTATGTCAAGGAGACAGCTGGCTAAACATTGCCCATTTTAACCTGGATTTCTGATTGGACTTCAGCAGTTATCAATAAACCCCATTGACTTGGTAGTTGTCAATAAAACCCATTTACTCCTGCTCATTAGCAGATAGGGATATTAATTAACTCTGCAGCTAGGAATGAAAGAGAGTTCCTTGAGGAAAC